CCACGAGCTCACCACATCGTCCCCGCCCTCGCGTGCACGGACGACCCGGCTCCGTGCCGCGGCTTGGAGGATGGCCTACGCACGCAATTGCCGCGCGCCGACGCCTGCCTCGTGCTCGGCCAGCCGCCGCCGGCGGGGACGCACGCAGCGTCGATCCTCGCGAGCTTGTCGCACCACGTGCCTCGCCTGCTGCTCGCTGCGAGTCGGGTCGAAGGCCACGCATTCGACGCGCAGCTGGTCGGTTCGGTCGACGCGGCGGCCGGCTGGCTGTCGGCGCAGATCGGCGAGGCGGCGGCGGGTGACGCGGCGGCTGAGGGCGGCGCGGCGGGGGCGGCGCCCGTAGGGCCAACCTCCTTCTCGCCGCCCTGCACGAGCGTCTTTGGCGAGCTAGCCGAGGAGACGCGCGGAGAGGGCGAGGGCGAGGGGGCGCCGCCGCTGCGCCCTCGCGCACAGGTTTGTCGCCCAGGCGCAGACGCGCCGCTTGTGATTTCGTTCGTCCGACCTTATGTTTACTTTTTTAGGCCCAGACGCCGCTCGCGCTTGCGCCGCGCGAGGCGGAGGAGAGCAGCAAGCGGCGCAAGCTCAGGGGGGCGGCGGAGGTCACGTGAAAGGCGGACGTGGTCCTGCACCGGTGACGGCTCTTTGGCCGTGCCTTGATCGGGCGGGAAAAATTACTAATTAGAAGGAAGGTGTATACGCCTGACTACGACCAGCATGAAATATGCGCAACGCCTTCTCTCCCCTACCGGGTAACCCTTAGGAAGGTCAGACCGACCAAGTGACTGGGACACATCAAGTGCCGGTGCAAGTACTGGAGGTGTAGCGTATACGACTGCAAGCAAGGTTGTAGGTTCCACCACTGCCACTGGGGAGACCGCCCGCGGCCCCAGTGGGGCCACCCAGTGGGTCGCGGCTCGCCCCCACTGGGCCCCCGCCCCCTCCCCAGTGTGCAGCTCTCGGTCTCCCCACTGGGCAGCTCTCGATCTCCCCACTGAGCTCTGAGAGGGAGAAGAGACTCCCACTGAGCCCCCCACTGGGAAGCTCCTTCTTGAGAGACTCAGTGTGCGTGGGAAGCTCGTTGTTCCCCGAGAGACTCAGTTGTGGGAAGAAGGAGCTTCCCAGTGGGGGGCTCAGTGGGAGTCTCTTCTCCCTCAGTGGGGAGACCGAGACCTGCCCAGTGGGGACTGGGGAGACCGAGCGAGCTGCACACTGGGGAGGGGGCGGGGGCCCAGTGGGGGCGAGCCGCCTCGCCCATTGGGGCCCATATCGACCCAGTGGGCGGCTCACTGGGTACCTACTGGGACTCCGGCACTTGATGTGTCCCAGTCACTTGGTCGGTCTGACCTCAGCTGTGAGCGCTGTCAGAGCGGTGTTTCGACACCGATATCCTGAAGGGGACGGCGCCTGCTGCGCGGCGGTCGAAGAATGCTGAAAGCTTACAGCAGCTTCCTGGTCCGCCACGCCTGCGCGCTCGCCTCCCTTCTCTTCGCCTCGGCGTGGGTCAGCGGCGGCCTGCTCCTGCTGCTTGGCCGCACGCACTTTCAAAATTATGGCGCGTTCGAACTCCTCGTACGAGGAGCGCCAGCCGTTGACGAGATGGACCTCGCCAACGCTGCACTCAAGGCTGCGGACGCCTGGGCGGCTGGTAGCCGCGCACGCCCTCGCACCGTCCTCTCCTCGCTCGACAGCGCCGTGGTGCTCGTCTATTCAGCTGGAGGTGAGCCGCTGCTGACGCCGGAGCGGCTGCAGGCTCGCCGCCCGCGCACGCCTCCCTGCGCATGCCACGCTCCCCTCTCTGATCCAATCGCGCGCCCGCAGGCCATCTGTGAAGTCGACAACGTGCTCCTCGGCACCGACGGCTACGACCTGCTCTGCTACGACGGCGCGCTGCCGATCCCCGGCCTCGCCTCGCGCTCAAGTATGTCCGGCCGCTCTTGCTCGCTGCAGCTCACATCGCCGACCGCCTTCTTTTACGTCAACTGGCAGCTGGTCCTCGCTATCGAGAAGCAGCTGCGCTGGCTGCGCCGCGTCTCGCCCTTTGCGCGCGTCGTCGAGCCTCCGCCCTCCGTGAGCCGAGAGCTGCTCCTCGCCACCTCGGCCGGCTTCGAGCGAGGCAGCCACACGCGCAGCTGCCCGCTCCTTCCGCAAGAGTACGTCGAGGCGCGCGCCGCGCAGCTGCTCGAGCTCGCCGCCACCGGCGGCACGGCCAGCGCCAACGCCAGCAGCCCCAGCGACCCCGTGGCCCGGACCGTGCGCGAGCAACTCTCTCCGCTCGTCGACGCGAGCGCCGCAACGCGCGGCCACGTGTCGCAAGCCTCCTCGGCGCGCGCACGGAGGCACCGCGGCCCCCCATGTGGCGCGGCCCTCTCCCCGCACACCTTTCCGCGCCGCCCCTCTCAGGTGACCTCCTTTGGCGAGCCGCTCGACCCGCGGCTGCTCAGCTACATCGGGGGCGGCATCGCGCCAAACGACGACGAGGCGCGCTCGCTGCAGCTGCAGCTCCGCAACGACCTCGAGAGGCGCTTCGCGCAGTCGCTCGCGGCCGGCCTCGCACTACGGCCGCCCTCGCCCATCTCGTCTCTCTGGCGAGGCCACGCGGCACTGCCACACGCTCTGCAGGTCGCGGCCCGGCGGCTCCTCGGCTCCTCTTCTCCTCCTCCGCGCCTCGGCCCCCCAGACCGTCCGCGCGCGTCCGCCACT